GAGGGTCGAGAGGGGGGGGGGGGGGGGGGAGGGGGGAGAGAGATAAGTGGATATACATGAGGGAGGAATGAGGCATAAGCCCCCAGTGGGGTAAACCAGGGAGGCTCTTAGTGCTTCTCAGGGTGGAAGCTCTCCCGCAGGGCCTCCTGGATACAGACAGCCCCCAATGGACCTCCCGGATGGCAGCCCATAGAAAGTGCAACCAGGCTCACAACAACACATCCACGAGAAGCACCAGAGTGCCCAGGGGCAGCTCTGGCTCCATGCTGCAGAGTGCTGTGGTGTCCTGAGTGAGGGCAACCAGAGCGTGCAGAGACAAAATGCTTTGCTGTCCCTCATTGAGGCAAGCAAGCAGGGAAAGCTGAGAATCAGCTGTCCGGAGGGAAGGGGAGGCGTCCTCCCTTTAAGCACAGGCCGCAGATAGCCTCAGGCGGCAGCCACACAAAGTAATTCCTGACCTGATGTCCTGCCAGACCTGGTTCTGGCTGGCCTTAAATGCGATTCAGCGGCTGCTCAGTGTGGACACGCTATTTTGAAATAGCAAAACGCTATTTCGAAATGCATTTTGCGTGTAGCTATGTTATTTCAAAGTAACTTATTTTGAATTAACTATTTCGAAATAAGATATTTCGAAATAACGCTGTAGTGTAGACATACCCTGTGAGAATAAAGACTACGCCACAAAAAAAGGTACGAATGCAATTGAAGAAACTGAGCTTCCCTGGATTTTGCACATTTAATTGGTACCTTTAATAGCATGTTATGTACTTAAATATTCTGTTACGCAGAATTCTGTGTCTGTGGAAACAAGCTCAGGTGTGGTTGCATTCAACAAGCAAATTCACAGCTTTGTTAGTTAAGAGCTTTGCCTTTGAGCCCATGTGTGGCCAATGCTGATTATGCCTTGAAGAGTACACGCATCACAACTGTGATGTACAACTGTGCCTAATATCAGTTTCTTCTTGATCTAGGACCTCAAGCTAGGTTGCAAGATTTGGTGAGAGAGAGAGAGAAAGAGAGAGAGAGAGTGTGTGTGGTGTGTATAACATAGGAAGAGAACATAAAGCATGGACCTGAGAAAGACAAAGACATGCAGACGTCTTATAGAGAGAGAAGATTGAAAGAGTTGGTATAATCTGTAGAGAAATAAAGTCTGCAACATAGTGAATCCAAATCTTAAATCGCTTTGAAACAACGTTAAGGAAATAAAGCCTGGTAAATATAGAGGGAAACCACCACACACTGTAGCTTTGCAAGACTGACCTTAGGGTGGCTGCTGACATAGACAGTGCTTTGATGCAGTGATCTTTGACATGCCCCCTCAAGTTTCAGTATTGCTAAAGTACAATAATGAGACATGCAAGCTGATGGCCAATTAGAAATGGTTCTTTTGGACACAGACTGACCTAACGGGTTTAGGTCAAGTGAAACAAAAACCTGGACGGACTTTCTAAGGGGCTTTGTGCTCCACACAGAAAGTGAGACTTTTTTTAGATCCAGCTGGTGGAGCAATGGTTCACCAACATGGGCATAAGAATGGTGGGGAAATTAATAACTTGTTAAAATGAAACCATAGAAGGAAACTCTTTATGAGTGCACAATACCACCTTCTCGGTGTAAAACAGAACACAAGTCCTGTATATAGGAACAAGGCCAGCGACAAACACTATTCCGAGAAAAAAAGCTTTCTGCAAAAGACACAGAACCTCAACTTACAGAAGTGAGCAAGAGGGGACTTTATCAGTTTTGGAGTCCCAGAACGCACAATAATGTAGTATATATTATTTTGAAACATAAAATGGACATGAAAGCAAAATGCAAACTAAAAACAAAGCAAAGGAAAAGCAGCTTTAAGGAAGACTCCTAACTAATGGAGCAAATCATAATAAAAGCTGTGAGACTATTGCAAATCCCTGAAGTTTTCCCCCTGTATGGGTCTGCTACAGTTCTCAGCTGATGGCACTGCATTAGAAGAGACACAAGTATTTAGTAAGAATCCTCTCCAGTGCTAGAGAATACATTAGCCCACATTTTGCCTTTAATTTTAACATATTTCTGTTTGAGGACATGGCCAAGGGGCCTGTTACAGATTTCATTAGAGAGAAAATCATCAGGTTTTGACTCAGGCTACATCTAGACTGCAAGCCTTTTTCGAAAGATACTTTCAAAAACGATTCTTTCGAAAAAGAGCGTGTAGACTACAACCAGTACTTTCGAAAAAGCAAGCCGCTTTTTCAAAAGACAGCACTCAGGCAGTCTGGATGCTCTCTTTCAAAAAAGCACAGTTTGCATTACATAGTGCCTTTTTTCAAAAGAGCACTTTTGAAAAAAGGCGTTATTCCTCGGAAAACTAGGTTTTCCATGGTCAAAAAAACCTGCTGCATTCTTTCGATTTACTTTCGAAAGAACGTGGCAGCAGTCTAGACGCAGGCTACTTTTTTTGAAAAAACCCTGTAGTCTAGATACACCCTCACGGTCCAGTTACCAGTGAACAAATGGCTGAGACCTCAGTATTTGTAAAGGTGCCCAAATAAGCAGACAAGTCAACAAAACTTTCTCGGTCATCACAAATAGAACGTACTTGGCTGAAAAATGTGTCTGCCTTCATGACAGGTGCCAGAGTTGAAGAAATCTGATTCTTTACGCATGGAACCTAGACCCTGAGCTCGCGGTACAAATGACTGACTGTAGTGGTCAATTGCGGAAGAATTTTGTATGTGCTAGTTTGGGGGTGGTGAGGCCTGCATTGTTTCCCCCCTTTCCCTTTTCCCTATATATGATGAACCAGAAGCAAGTCTTTGGGAACATACGCCACTTAAGATAAGCATTGTTGCCAGTACAGCAAGAACACGTATAAGATAAGGGTAAACCACAAGAACACATACACAATTCTGTTTACCCTAACATACTGATCATGTTAACAGGGCCAAAGGACAAGAAGATCCAGATCAGAACCAGATCAATAACTAAGAGCTAAGCTCTACATCAGCACTAATGAGTAAGCCCTGGAAATTTCCAAACTGCCAAACAAGGCAGGAAAACTGTATTTAAGGTTGCCTCAGAGCCTAGCAAATTAGACCTCACTGATGGGCTTTGGGTACCGGCGCCTCGGAAGCTGAGAAAACCTCCCACTTCATCCGCAGCCAACTCGGGATCCCTGGCTAGCAGGAAGGGACATAAGATATGCCGCTTCTTTGTTATGTTGTTCTTCCATTTATGGGGCACAGCTGTTAGCTGTCAAGAAATAAACTGTTTGTGTTTGACAGATACCTGTGTAGCATCCTTTGTACTTTGGGAACCCAGTGTCAGACCTTAGACTTACTCTGGCCGGCTACACTGACTAGTAAGGTGTCTGGCATTAAGCAATTAAGGTTAAACTCCTATCACATCTGTGTGTAGCAGCATCAGTTCACAAATAGCCTTGTACAGGAGACAATACCCTCACTAAGGAAGAGGAAGCCCAGAAAGGGATACCACAAGCTGGGACACTGAACCTTCTCACAACTCTGAAGTAACCAAATCAGTCTCAGATACGTTACCCCGGCCCAAGAATTTTCAGAACAATGTAAGACGTCCAATGTGGAGCAATGTCAAGGAAAGTTAAAATCTCCTCAGCCTTTTGTCATCATATTTCACTTTGAAATACTATTGCTGTCCATGACACTTGCCAAGACTAGAGGCAGAAGGTTTCCTGAAGCCAGCAAGCCATACCTATGCATGGTATTCAAAACAAGAAATCATCCACGTAAGATTGAAATAACACACACACACCCCTATCAGAAAGAAATTACCGCATGATGTTGCTTATGGAAAGAAGAGGCAATTAAAATACCACCCGAAATAAAACACAGAGGAAAAACACTCCAGTGATGTCTGATGAAAGGCATCCATTTAATAAATATCTGCGTATGTCTTTTGCTAAATTGAAGTATGAATTCGCTATCCCACTGCCAGATCTATAGAATCATAGAATACTAGGACTGGAAGGGTCCTCGAGAGGTCATCGAGTCCAGTCCTCTGCCCTCATGGCAGGACCAAATACTGTCTAGACCATCCCTGATAGACATTTATCTATAGATGACAGAGTGTAGCTCAATACATAACATTTTGTTAAGACTATATGTTCGGCTGAGGAAGAGATGTAAAATATATCCATTAGATTGAATAACTGCATATTTAACTAGCAGAATGCCTTCCTATTATTCTAATGATTTGTTTATTTAATAGCCTAGAAAATCTATGTATTATAAATACATACAATAGACCATAAGGGCATTGTCCAGAGGGACTAAGTTATTTTCTATAACCTGAAAAGTCGCATTTGCAATAGGCAGGATAACAGAACTTTAGCTAGTGAGCACAGCCAGATCGAGTAAATAAAATAACGTTGAATAAGTGATGATTGTGAAATGCCTGATCATTTATTTAAAGCTGTGGATTGTCCAGTCTTGCCTATGTTGAGATACTCTAGTAAATTATGTTCTTCTTACTGAGAGTTGAGGATGGTATCATCCACATTCCTCCTTCTTCCTAATTCTATGCAGTTAGGCTTCAAAGCAGGCCAAGTAACAAGAGTGACTTGACCATCTTGCTCCATTTGGGAAATGAAAAAAAGCTGCCTATATTTTAAAAAAGTGTGTAGCAGGTATAAAATAAAGCTACCACACTGTATCTTAACAATTATTTGCTATCAGTCATAAGGGTCCTCTGAAAACTATTTCTGTTGCTTTGAAATACTGTACCACAAATGAACAAGGGACGGGAATAGAGCCCCATTCAGTCTCCACAATCATATTAAAGAACAACCTTACACACATCGCAATGACCTCTCAATAGGTCAATCCCACATTCCCCATTTGCAATTCAAACCCAAAGCTGGAGCAGACCAAGGGCAACATGGGCTCTTGATTATATTTAAGAGGTCATCATTGCTATGCAGAGTTGTAGGAAGCAGACCTCTAGCTCCACTGCATTTTAAATCCTATCATTGTATAGAAACTGCTCCTATTTGGCAGTGAAAACTGAAAAAGGACTGTTTAGATTTGACTTTTCCTAACCAGCAGCCTGCACGCTTTTCATGCTAGTCCTGGAAAATAATATTTTAACTTACAGGAGGCAGTGACGTCTGATTAAGAATAATTTTAAAGTATTCCCGAAAATGGTAGAATCACACCCAGGATCAGCAAAATGTATGTATTGAATGATGCCAGAACTTCAGTTAAAAATAACTCTGTCATTAGCAAGCACATGGAAAAGAAGAAACTCTCCAAAAACTGGTAAAAGCAAGTGAAAATTGATAAGGGTGCACTAATGGACCTATCAACAGTAGAGCAGTGCAGACACATTTCCATTAAAAAAAAGGATGATGGTTAGTAAAATAGGTTTCACCATTTGTGTCACCTAAAACACACTAGCACCTCGTACTAACATTACCTCTGGCTGTTGTGCTTGAAAGAAGGGGTAGTGGAAAGCGAGTGATTCGAAAGGAAGAGTGGTAGAAAGTCTTGAGTATTCACACAAATCTTTTATGATGATTCTTTTAAATAAGATGAACCATGTCATCTTATTTGCAGAAATGCTAAGTAGTACGAAAAATGCATTTGTAGTCCATAGGGAATCTCACCAGTTGAATGGAGGCAAGTTGAATGTCAGTGTTTTTGAGGATAATTTTGATCCACTCAATTTTGAGTATTATCTGTGTGTTTTTTTTTTAAATGAACCAAAATATCTGGAGTAGTAGGGAGGGAGCAACAATAGAGTTAAATTAAAAATTGCATGAGTAATGGATATTCCATATATTAGAAAGCGCCTGATCCTCTTGTATATAAATGTCACAGGGCACGATATAATCAATAAAAAAACGGGTACAAAAAATTCAGTGATTTTACTTAGTGCTGTTTGCACTGTGATCAAATTATACTATCAATTACCCCAAGTAACAAGTAAATATAAGGTTATTTTAAATCACCTGCCAGAACCAAATCTCCACTCATGCACCCAACACTGTAGTTAACAGTTTACCAGTTGTTGCACTATATAGGCTTTATTTCATGAGTTTATTGGTTGGTGGTAAAACTCCATCTGTACTGATAAGTATAGGCAGAGAAGGAAGTTTTTGGTATCTGTCTGTCTGGCTGTCTAACTAACACAGCCTTAACGTTGTTGCTTTGTGTATTTTGAGAATAACAAATAAAATTACTGAAATATTGATTTAAAAATCAGCAGTTGTGAAAGGTGCGGTAAATCAGAAAAAACATTCTGAGTGAGAGCTTCGCAGTTACTAAATTGGCTATCTTGTATTCCCAACAGACTGTAATGGCTCTGATCTATAAACTAAATAGAATAACTAGAAGACAGCTAAAGGCAGAATCATCCATTCATCCTATAGTATGTATCAATATGACCACCCGATGGCCTCAAAAGCAGCAATTAATATTGGATACCACACTGCTCAGACACAATTTAGCATTCCCTGAATGTTCCTCTTTAAACACAAAAAAGATGAAATTCAGACACAATAAAATGTCATCAGAAGGCCAAGGCGCTGGGAAACATAAAACTGAAAAAAATTCAGATTTAAAAATTACAACTTCAATTCTAGCTCTACAGCACTGTGCCTAAACTTCACATTTATGATATGTGCTAACCATGTGTCCCCTCAGAGACGGTGGGTTATTTCCCCTGAGAGGTCACCAGAAGAATATAATGGCAATTTGCCATTTGAAGCAAAGTTCATTGTAGGCATGATCAGCCAGTTTATGCAACGCCCCACCCAACCATTGTCGTGGCACGATGGGCAGTCGAGGTACCACCGTAAATGGAACACTCAATTTTCTGGCTTTCGTGGGTTTAAGTCAGAGCCTGAATGTATTCGAAGATAGTTTTTTGACTGTGAATATTTATAACAGTGTGAAAAATCCAGGACAGCTGGTAATGCATTTTGAAGTGTGCTAACAACACTGTATCAAACAGCTTTCTATTGATCACATAATGCTTTTTGTGGCTAAGTATTTCATACACAGCGCTTATACATTTTGAATAAGAACTTCAAGTACCTTTTGCTTCAAGCGGTTTTTCACCTCTTTTATTCCCATTTTTGCATGATCTTTTGCCTGCATGAAAAATTAATTTAAGTTAAAAATCCCTTTCTAGTTCCAGCAGTGACTGCTCGATTTAAGTCCATCAAGACTCACCTTCTCTGATTATTGAAAATGGGAAGGAAAAATTGGATCATCAAGCTGAAAACATAATGGCTATAAAAACAAATACAAACCTAAGAGGTTAAAAAAAACCTTTAATGATACGGCAAAGATTTTGTTTTCTCAGATATGATGGCAGGAATTTTTGTTCCCGCTTCTCCCACCCCCTCAGTTCCTCCTCCATGATTTTTCCTCTCTCTAATTATTTATCTATGCTGCATGGTGACAATTATTAGTAATAGCACAGCTGTAAGCATCGTCACTGTGCTGCTCTGAATACCAGTTATATTTTACTAGGGCAGGACCTAAACCTCAGGACCTTTGCCAGGCTAGAGGCAGGTGTTAAGGGATAGTTTGAATAGCTACCTTACTGCTTTTTGTTGGATTTAATAGAATTCACTACTGAAGAGATCCTTACATGCTTCCACAATATTAGCCCTCTGTAGTAAAATTATTAGTTATAAACCATATTGCAATAACTGTTATTAGCTGTTTGTTAACCAAGCACTGAAAGATTTTCATTTACAAAACAACCTAAGAAGCTTGGCTCAAAAGAAGCAGGTATGAGAACTCTTTGAGGAAAAATAATAGACATTTATAAAAACTGGAACAATTGGCCAAATGAGAGGATTCCCTCATTTCCATTTAGCTGCTCACTGATGCCATGGGGTACCTATGGATTCCCAACAGTGCAATGACGAGATAGGAGAGGTATATAGGGACTGTTCCATGGAAGTAGTGCTGTTTAATAAAGAGGAAAGCAACTACTGCGCTTTGAAGATAAATCACTAGCCAATCTAATTTTCTTTTATAATTTAACTAGTATAAAATGTTTCATACTGGTATTTCAGTTAAAGAGAAAATATTTCCCCAGAAAAATAGAAATTAAAACCATTGCCTGATATACACTTGGTGATCTAGTCTCCAGCACTTTATTGTTACTATGCATTTATCGTCCTCAAATAATTTTCTTAGTGTACAGAAAAAGACTTAAATCTACAGATTCATTTAAAACAGCATCATAAGTAGATTCAGTTATCTGTGTCATAAGACTCTACTCAATACTTACAAACTTATAAACTGTCTTCATAGCCGGGTTAGCTTTGGTTTTTACTGTATTTATAATGGCTCCACTTCCTTTCTGTAATTACAGTAACAATGGAAACATTTTCACTGAGGCCGTTTAAAGCAAATATCAGTCCAGAGCTATTATTTAACAGGAAATAAAGTATCAATTGTGTTTGATATCAGAGCAGTTTGCCTGAGTGGTAATTTATTTTTATTGAATTCCTCACTCTCACCAAGGATTAGATACTACTTTTTCCAATGAAAATCTGATCTATTTGAAATCGTGTTTTGGAACAGATCTTTGCAATGTAAAATTTTCAGATTCTCATAATTAAAAGAATTCCCTTTGCCATATTTAGAATTCTTCAGAGGTCCTCTCGCTAAACAGTATCCATCACCATTCTTATCACCCTCAAAGGCATCCTGCGTATTGTATGAAAGTTACAAACATGTTTAATACTAAAGTATGCTGGCAGCTCTTGCGAAGTACAGAAATTTAGTTCCTGGTAAGATTACATGTTCCCTGAAAAAACCCTACTCACTGCAGTGCACTTTGCACTGAGTTACAAGAGTTGAGACAACATGAAATCCAACTACAATTCCAGAGAAGCAGAACTGCATGTAGAGGACACACTAAAAGGCGTATATGGCAATGATAAGTCATACAGAATAATCTAAAAGGTTATTAGTTTTATTTAACTTCTGTATACCATTGACTCTTGCTGTATAGTAAATTATTGGATAAATAAATCTTACGTGAAGAGCAGATGGGTAAAATTCATGAAACAGAATATAATTCCATCGCAATTTAACCTAACACAGAATTAGTCTTCAGAAGTATGCCAAATTTTGCTGCAAACTATTGTAATAATATTTATCTTATTTCACAGCTCTTACGTTAGCTTAGCAAAAATAACGTAAACGACTGAACATTACCACTTGGATTTTACACCAATATTCTCGTCTCCTTTTAACATTTTGCATCCTGCATGTATGTAAACATGATTGACAATCTTTAAAGTAATATTGATATTTTAAATGTATTAAATGCTCAAAGATCAAGATCATTTTCTCCCTAGCTGTTTGTGCACTAGAGAATTCTACTCATGACCAAGACTAGAGAAAAATGGGATACTATATTTAAAAAGTTGAGCTCTCTCTATACAATTATTTTTCCGGCACATGTACTTTTAATGCATCATTTATGGTGGAAGGGACTCTTTACAGTCAGATCCCAATTACAGACCTGAAATAATCATTTATTTTTCACAAAGCAAAATATTATTTATAAATATTTATACAGTCTATTTAATGTATATCAATTAAATAGAGCATTAGTCTAAGCAGATAAATGTGTTTGCAGGGTATATTAGATTACAAACAACTTACTGCCCCCTATTCAGTACTTCACATTGTTCAGTTTTGTAAACAGCTATTCACTGTGGCTTAGGTTTCCACAATAATATTAAAAAGGGAAAAATGAATTCTGTTTGGAATAGGCAACAGCATATTTCTACATGCCTTTCATATGGCCTCCAAGATGCTAAAATCAGGATTGAAAAATGTGAGAAAAAATAAACTCAGTTTCCCTATTCAAGTTTTTTTCCCCCTATGTTTTTCCTTCTGTTCTTCACTACCCATTAAGAGCACATTTATCTTTTAGTGAGTTTAATTTTATCTGGTCTAAACCAAATATTGTGGGATAAAAGCTGGTTTTGCTCATGCTGGTGGAGTTTAATTATGGTGCAAGAACCAAATGGTCCAGTAAGAACAATAATGATTGGAAAACTGCATTCTTACCCTTACTGTGGAGAGCCATTGATGGTACAGTCTGTCACTCCCTGGTAATAGAGAGAAATTTTTTTTATTGATAACAGGAGACAAATGAGAAATGCTGGCATTCAACTGTGTCTAGTGGTAGTAAAATATATATCATCTACCCTTTTCCCCCTTCTGGGAACAGAATAACCAAAAATAAACAAGCAAGTGGAAGAAAGCAAGGTGGGAAGTGGAATTACTTTTTCCCAGATTCTCTCAAATATATCTGAGCAAGTTAATGATTTTTTTTAATGTTCATGAAAAGAAAAGAGAAGGTGTCAATGGTTGAATCCAACGTTCCTCAATTCTCATGTGCAAGACCTGTTGTAGTCTTGTGTTAGCCATCTAACCAGATAGTACTGCGCAGGGTAAGGCAAAGGTTTGCAAGGCTGAATAGTGAATGAAAGATATTTTATGTAACCAAGTTGGGACTGAGATCTCCAGAGAAAAAAGGACAGCAGGCAACAACACACTTCAATCCACAGGGACTGAATCTGGTACAATTACTCAGGTGAGAGATTTCTCTGACCTACTGGATCACAAAGCATAACATAAAGGACACCATCCTAAATCAGTAGAATGAGCAGATATTTCTTACCAGCATATTCTCCCATATTTATCTCTTCTTCAAAAACATCACTGAAGCCCTCTCCAGAGTTGAGACGATCAAGGCGTCCATCAATAAACTTTGAAACGGGAAGTATAAGAAAAATGTGTGAACAGAGAGTATTCAATTCTATTGCACTTCAAAAGATGATATTGTACTTTCTCCAGAAGGACAAAGTTCCAAAGACTTTGCAGGGGACAGCCTTTAAGTAGGTAGACTGGAGAAAGAACTATCACTTTGCCAGACAGCATGACAATTCTTTATTTCAACAAGCAGTCAATGATATGGTTTTTGGCTTTCCTAAAATGGCACGGTAACACTGTAGTTTGTACATGGAAGCCTTCAGAGACATCAGCTCCCACTGGCGTCAATGGAATTTTGCTATGGACTTCAATGGGAGGTGAACTTAAATTATAGCTATTGAAACCGTTATACCTTGGGTTTAATTCAGGCCAGAAAATAAAAATTAAGTTACTGTTGAAGAAGTTTCATAGATCTTAATTATTAAATTAAGGAACTAATTTTTATGAGTATGTGATTGGTGTAGATCAAAGACGATAGGAATGGTGCTTGTAAAAAAACACATTCTTTGGTGAAATAAGCTACCACCATGCGGAAGCAATTAAACCAATACCTGCTTAAAGAGCTGGAGCTGAATAGCATTCTGAAGAAACTGCCTCATGGCGGTAGAACGATGAGACACAAACGTTTCTTCACAAAAAGTGATTGGCTCCTCCTGTAAAGTTCAGAGCATGGGAAACACTGAAACAGCTTTGCCTGGAGAACTAAGTTTGCATTTTATCTATTTCCCTTAAAAAAAAAACGTAAAACAAGTCTGATAGAAAGCTGGGTAAGCGACAGTTCTTCTCTCAGTTCATACATGAGAAGGGACAGAGATAGCTTTAATCATATTACTTAGGTGATAACGTACTAAAATTGTGTACAGTCAAGATAAAACCCATTTGCTTTCTGCACATTTTGCTACAATTGACTGGGAGTCTTTCATTCTTCCAAAAGGTACCTTCTAATTTAATACCTCAAGAAACTGACATAGAAAAAGTTCTCTAGTTTTGAATAGACCACAGAGTTAACCTGCACAAACAAGTCTGTAATTTCTGCTTTGCGTTCTCTCCACGGTTCACAAAGATTAGACTTTCATATCCTGAATTGAATGAAATTTCCCTTTTTCACAGGCTTGTTGGCAAAAGACAGAGATTGTTTTGAAGCTCTACTTTTATCTTATTTTAATGAGTTATGTTAATGCTGACGTCTGCTGCGCATCTGCCATAAGGGCACAAATTTCCTCCACACTTAAATCTACAAATTCTCTTCATAGTGAGTAAATACATTTATTAAGTTTCAAAAATGGCAGTAACAAAGAATAAAATTATGTTGCTGTAAAATTAATGCTCAATTCTTTTCATACTCATATAAAATATATTCAGAGCTTTTCATCTGGGAAGAGTTTAGAGTTGACAGTAGGCAGCAGATTGCCTAAAAGACAGAGCTCCCCATTTAAGAGTTCGTTTGGGTTTCAATTCCCCCAAATCCTTCACTGTAGGAACTTGAACTATTGGTGGCTGTGTTAGGTCTCAATATTAACACAATACGCAAAGTAGCAGCAAGTGCAGCATTACTGGAGGAGGTGGGAATGGATTTCTTAGGGGACACTGAAGCAAAGTTCTGGATAATGATTAATTGTTTCATTTTATCAGCAGAATTATCTTCAGTTGAATCATTCTCAGAAGTATTTAAGAGACCCCAAACATTGCAGTATCTAGAGAAAGAAAGTGTGAACTACAAAAAAAGGACAGATCCCATGCTGTTGCTGTCCCCAGGCTACGCTGACGTAAAATACCCCTTAATGGGTTTCATTTCAATATGAACTAGAAAGAAATGTGTTTGCAGAATATATTTGTATATTTACTCCTCAGGCCAGGAATGGCCTCACCTCCATGTCCACACCACACTGGCTGTTAATGTGCAAAAGGCCACCTTTCAAGGGCCTGTGTACTTGAGCGACTGTCACCCTGCCTCCTGCTCAGCTATTAGATCTGGACAGGAAGAGTGTGCTGGTACCAATGTCTCTCCATAACTATGTCTAAACCAGGCTTGAAGCAAGACTTATGCTGATGGCTAATATTGGGTAGGTTAAATGGTATCTACATTGGTTTGATCCTTTCCACCTGTTTGAGAAAAAAAACAGGGTGTTCCTCTCAGCGCTCAGACCTAAGCACAGGAAGAGGCGTGAGGGGACTAAGCAGAACTGGTAAGCAAGCTCCAATGTCAAAAGGAGTCTGGAAAGTGGGAAAACCTACTAGTCGCATCTGGCAAGGAATTGGTATCTTTGCCCAGCATGACATCCTCTTGCAACAACATTGCATACAAGTAAAACCACTCCTCTCCCCGATTGTAAAGGATAGAGTCAAAATGTCACCGATCACTACCACTAGAGAGTCAGCTGGTTTAGAAAACGTAGACACTACAAATGCCACACAGCATCAAATAAACTGCAGGGAAT